GCTCATTCTTGTGTACCACACTGTTTCTCTCCTTTTGGGCTGTAGGCTACTGGATGTACCACTAACCCATAACAGCAGTCATAACAAAAATTGTAATGATACATTTTCTTTACTGGACCTGTGATTTCCTCAATGCAGAGAGACCTGCTGATGTGGAACTTCATCTAATGACTTACCTTTTTAGCAACTGGTATTTTAATTGTAAAACATTTAACAAAAACAAAGGAATCTCAATCCACTAACTTAAAACCTCACAGTCTCCCCGGGAGGGAAGGTAGTGCAGGTGTAATGATCTCTAATTGACAGAGAAACGATCAGAGATTCAGAGAGGTAAGGGATTTACCCAAGTTGACCCAGCTGTCTGGAGGCAGAGCTAGGCAAAAGGTCAGGCTTCCTCTTTTCCTAATCCATTGTTTTTTCTACTTTCTCCCAATTCTCTCAGAAGAGGATAGTTTACATACCTTCATGCTCTGTCAGCAAACCATTCCCTAATTGTGAAAACCTTCTTGTACCTGGTCCCACACATGCCAATTTGAATCTTAATTAAAAAAAAATTAGAACCCTATTTTTTCCAGCTCAAAACATTAGAAGACTGAGCAAGAATTTGTTTCACTCCTTTATAATTCCTTTCTCCAGGACTGCTAGGTGAGGTGCTAAGGCTAACAAATGATTACTGTTTATACGTTATGGAGCAAAATAACATCTTATGACACCAGGAAAGAATTTCCATGTTGCCAAAACAGTTCTGTTTGCTTTTAAAATAACATATTCTTCAAGTTGAACTTGTTTACAACAACTACACTTCTCTCCTTTCAAAAACAATTACAATGTATGACTCAGTCTGGAAGGGGAAGAAAAATAACTTTCAGTTTGTATGCCTAGAGTAAAAAACACAAGAGGGAGCTAAAGGGCAACCAATAAAAGAACTTCATTTATAAATGGGTTTCTACCTTAGGAGATAGTAGGAATTTCAGCATTTTTTTTAAAAGATTCCCTTAGCATGGTCAGATTTGTGGTTTTAGTATATTAGAGGTTTCTCTATGGACTGGACTGGCAGGTGCTGGTGCTAGTTCTGTCATCAATATATTATATGACCATGACCTTGGGGAACTTCTGTTTCTCAACTACCCAGCCTCCATCCTTAGCTTTCGAATAGAGAACATCAAACCTGATTCCCTTATACTTACCTATTTCCTAGAGGGAGGTTATAAAATTGATTGCGACTATATAGTCCCAGGGACTGAGTTCTTTGGAGGAAAGGACTACATAAATACTGAGTTTTATAGCTATTGTTAAATTCCATGAGTGTTTTGTCTGGGGTGGGGGAGAAAGGGGGATTCCAGCATCTAATACTGCTGAACAGATGTGGACTAACAAAAACAAAAGCCTTCCTGCTTAATAAATTTAATTAAGCTGCTAATAAATATGCACATATATTAGTATACATATATGAATAGGCACTGTGGAAGAGGGGACTAGTAAAGAGAATTTTTAGAAGAATTTGTTTGAGGGATTAGAGGAAACCAGAAAGTTTAAAAATATACATACACATAACAGAATTTCAAAAGGGTAATTTAATTAGAGTGCTATAATTCAATTAATGACTAATCATAATTAGTAGTAATAATAGCATGGGGAGCTAGGTGGTACAGTGGATAGACAGACTGCTGGGCCTGAAGTCAGGAAAACTCATCTTCCTGAATTCAAATCTGGCTTCAGACACTTACTAGCTGTATGACCCTGGGCAAGTCACTTAACCCTACCTGCCTCAGTTTCCTCATCTGTAAAATGAGCTGGAGAAGGAAATGGCAAACCACTCCAGTATCTTTGCCAAGAAAATCCCAAATGAGGTCATCAAAAGTCAGACACAACTGAAATGAATGAACAACAAAAGTAATAATGGCCCACATGAACATCACTTTAGAAGTCACAAAGCAATTTCCTAAAAACCCCTAACGTGGAGAGTGTTGTATGATTATCCCCATTTTATAGAAGACAAAACAGAGACCCAGACCCACTGACTTGCCCAAAGCTATACTATTAATTAACCACAGAGTTAGGATTAAAACCTATTTACAGGCTCTAAGGCCAATGTACCAAAGTGAGAAAAAACTCATAACATGTTTTTGTACCTCCAGGACTCAGTCAATTTCCTCCCTTCCAAATTCTGATTAGAGAATAGACTGCAGAGATGCAGTGTGATATAATGAAAATAACTGGAGTCAAAGGGTAGGGATTGGAGTCTTGGTTTTGCTATAAAAATCTTTATGGGATAAATACTGGACCTATGATTTCACTCATCTAGTAAACTCCTAAATATGGAGCATCTTCTTTGCAATTTAAAGTCTTAAAGAGTTACCTACACTGAAGCCCTACAAGTACCAAGATGTTAGAGGATTTGCCTAGGGACATACAGTCCAGATGTGTTAAAGGCGAGATATAGAACCTAAGTTTTCCTAGCTCTGAAGTCAGCTCTCTTTCCAATGGTCCATGTTGCCTATCAACATTTATGCCTCAGGGTCAAAATTTCACCTGTCTCATTCTTCAGTTCCTTCTTGTGTAAAATACAACTTTGGCTAGATGGCCTCACAGATCCCCTATGGCATATCATGAGATCTGATTTCCTAACTCAGAGTCAGATGGAAGATGCAAAACTAAATCTGAAAGAAAAAATGCAAAGAGTTTCAAATAAGGACAGTAATGAACACATTGGCTTTAGAATATAACACCAAAATCTCTATTTTTTTCATTATAGTTAGTCATCAAATAAGAGAAGGAACGATGGGATTGATGTTGCCTCCATATACTTCTAAACCAGTTTTTTTCTTTTTTTAAAAAATTTTTTCACTGGCTATTTTCTGGAAAAAAAAAAACCTAAGGCCACTTTGACTTGATTTTAGTTAGTATATTCCAGAACATGGGAGAAACCTATCAACATTGTATATGTAATTCTAGCATAAGAATACAGGGATCCCATTCCTTAGACTTGAACTTCTGGTCAACTCAGAAAGATAGGAAACAGGCACTCATGTTTTTCTTTATTTGACCCTGACACTTACAAATGAACGTACCACTTGGGTCATCTGCAATGTAACTTCCATCTATCTGTTTTCTGACTAATCTTCCTTACATTTAAATCTAGCCAAGTCATTCCTGTGCTCAAAAATCTTCAATAACTCCCTATTGCCTATGAATAGTTTAAACTTATTTGCACCTGGCCTCTAAAACTTTCCACAATCTGGAGCCACAGTACCTTTTCAGCATTAGGTTATCTACACACACTCTGTTGTAGCCAAAGAATATTACTCGCCATACTTGCCATCCCCAGCTCCTACCTTAAGACACACCCTCTGCTTTTTCCACCTTTGCATCCATGCTTACATTATTCCTTGTACCTGTAACATGACCTCTTTTCCTTTCATAAGTCATTGAATTCCTACCTTTAAAGTCTTAATCAAGTAATATTCCTTCCCTTGATGCTTTCCTCCATCTCCCCACCTTCCTGTTTTCACTTCAATTAGCACCTTAATTGTTTTTGCCCCTCTAATACTCTCACCATGCAATATTGTGCATCTTTACGATCATTTGTTGGTATCTTTTCTCCCTGCTAGACTCCAAGCTCTAAAAAGGCAGAATTTGCATCTTATTTAAACTTGGTATTTCTGACAGCGGCTAGCATCCAGTGGATGCTTAATAAATGTTTGTTGAATGAAAGAAACAAAATAGGTTAGATGGCAGGTACATAATCTAATTTTCCTATTGGAATTTGAAAGGAAGAATCTGGACAGAATGTGTGTGTGCATGTCTGTGAATATGTGTGATACTATGCAGTACAATTTATGAAAGGGTTATGTTGCAAAACTCATTCAAAAGTAAGTTGTTTGAACTGTGAATTCATTTTCCCATGGAAACAATGCTATAAATAATGACTGTTAAATTCCTGGCCTCAGCTAGCCCATAAAGGCCTATTTAACCCATATCACACCTAGAATGAATGTCCTTTACGTGTCATTACCCTCTGGAGTCTTTGTGTTCTTGTCTTCTTATCTGTTTTTCCTATGATTCAAATGTTTCATGGGTTAAACAAATTTTAGTCTGGGAATCTAACCACAATGCATAGCATTGTTTTTGAGGGAAAATTAATCCTACGGTCAACAGTGTGAAGAGAGCTCTTTGGGACCAGGAAACAAATAGTTCCTTTCCATTTCTTTTCTTACTCCACTTTGAATCTCGAAGTTGGGGCAATGAAAGAGAAGAAGGAACATCTCATTTTCTTCAGGGTCTGGGGGTATTTATATTTCTTATGTAAGCTACATTATTCATTCTGAGAATATACTATTAACAATATAATAATATCATTATTAATTACACTATTAATTACCCACAGGGTTAGGATTAAAACATATATACTAGTATAACATACAGAACACTGAAATCAGAGAACCTTTGTCCAGAGCTCACTTCTGATACTTATTAGCTCTGTGCTTTGGCGAAAGTCATTGGACTTTGCCTGCCCAACTCTAAAATGGTTGAGTTAAAAATCCTGCCTCTGACACTTAGCTGCTGTATAACCATGCATAAGTCCCTTAACTTTTGTGAGCCTCAGTTTCCTCATCTGTAAAATAAGGATAATAATAAAACCTATCTCACAGGTGAGGTCCACATGAGATAACATAGGCAAATTACTTTGTAAATGTTAAAATGCTGTATAAATGCTATTTTATCACATTTAGCTAAATAACAATAATTAATATTATTGTTATTATTATTATGTCTCTGAGGTCCCCTCCAGCTCTAGAGCTATGACCCCATAACCTCTTCCGAGCTCACAGATCAAGCACTCAGTGTCTCAATGAAGAAAAAGAACTTAGTTAAAGAAATACCCATTAGCAGTATTATGGTCAGCAAGATCTATATCTGAAGTATCTCAAACAGTAGCCTAATAATTACTCATTTATTGCTGTAAAAAAAATAGCCAGTGAAAAATTTTTTGAACTCACCTATTTCTTCCCCCAAGGAGGAGTTCAGGATTGCCCCTGCAGACATGACAACTGCACAACTACCCAAACCTTGAGGATACAGTTTGCTCAAGGGTGCTTGAGGGACATGCTTCTCCCAGCCAAGGTCTGAAAAGGGGGCCTCCTTTCCATCTAATGTCTTCACAGTCACTCGGTCCCTGAGCTCACACAACAGCTGTTCTCTTGTCAGCTTGGAGTTCCGTTTCCCCCTAAACCGCACCCTATGCTTGTTGGTGGTGAGATAATCTTTCATTGCTTTTTGTAGGCGTGGATTTAGCATTTTTGAGGAGACATTCCCTTTCCAAAGCCGGTACAGAAAGGACTTAGACATGGTGGAATAAAGTCTGTCCCAGTGGGGCAACTCTTGGCTTCTTCTGTGCCTTAGGATAATTTTCTTTCGATTGTGTTTGATACTTCCTTGCTGGTCCTCCTTACTGAGGGGGACAAACTTCACCATTTGCTGGCCATGGTTACGTGACATAGGTTGACCCAAAGTAAAAAAATAATCACCGTTTACTTGATAGAAAAGATGTGGGGATTTTTTTCTTGTCTGAGAAGGAAAAAACTCTTCATTCTCCAAACCATCTTTCATTTCAGTCCATTTCTGAAGGTTATTGGGACCTAAGTTAAATGAATTCAAAACGTCTCCATTGAGAAGCACCTCATTCCCATCGATGGTTTCAGACAAGGATGGGTCGTGCATGGCGCCCATGATTGATCTCTGTTTTCCTTGGATAGGCAGGATCCTTTTAGTTTCAACATATGAGAAGGAACTTGGAACTGGTTCCACAGTGCTGCTATCTGTGAAATAGATGAAGATCACTAAAAAAAGGAGACCCCAAGCAAATATCCCAAAGAGCATTAATTGTTTCCATTGTTTCAAGTTCGGTTTCATGGCAGAGCCCGTATCAACACTTCTCTGTCCTGAAGTAGTGGCAAGCAACCTGCAAGATAACATTAAAGGTTAACATAAGCAAACTCAGTACTTTCCTATGTGGATACAATAGGAAAATGACACATTTTGATGGGCTGACCTAGGGTAAGCTCCACAGATGATCTCCCAGTTTTTTTTTTTACCATTTGCAATGAACAGTTCTTATTGACTAGAAGTGGAAGGATTAAGTACTTCTCCTCACCTGTTTAAGTACATTTCTTCACCTATTTTTTATTCAATCAGTCAACAAGCACAAGAATTTATTGAGTGTTTACTATTGTGTCTTGGGCATCTAGTTACAAAGTAAAAAAAAAAAATCAGTCCCCATTCTTCAGCTGCTTACATTCTACGTAATGAGTCAACAAGGTGGTGCAATGGATAGAGCATTGGGCCTGCAGTCAGAAAAGCCTGAGTTCAAATTTCACCTCAGACACTAGTTAGCTGTGAGACCCTGGGCTAGTCACTTAACCTGTTTGCCTCAGTTTCTTCATTTATAAAATGAGGATAATAATAGCACCTATACATAAGGAATGTTGTGAGGACCAAATGTGCTTAGAAAAGTGCCTGGCACAGAGTTAAGTGCCATATAAATGTTAACTATCATCATCATCATTACGAATAGTGGAGAAAACAGGTATAAAAATAAGTATGTACAAGACACAAAATAGGCAAAAGGTAACCTTAGAGGTGTAGGCATTAACAGGTGTGTGTATGTGGCAATATAGACTAAGAACAGCTCTTGCAAAAGGTAGAATTTGAGTTGAGTCATAAAGAAAGCTAGAGTTTAAATGGAGAAGATGAGATGAGGAGAGAGAGTACTCTACGTGTGAAGGACATTCAACACAACGGCATGAAGGCAGGAAATGAAGTACTGCGTTTAAGGAAAAGCAATCAGACCAGTGTATTTCAACTGTAGAGTGCAGAGAGGAAAAAAATATATGGGACTGGAAAGATAAGGGGATAAGTCACACACACATGTTAACTATATGTATATATACATATATATATATATACACACACATATATATATATAAACACACATATGTGTGTGTTTATATGTATATATACATATATATATATACACACACACATATATATATATAAACACACATATGTGTGTGTACCCTGATTCTTTTCTTCATTATTTCTTGAACATTATTAAAATAAGTACATAAGGTATAAAAATTAAATAATAAAAATATTTTTGAACATATATACTAAAAGTTATATGGTCCCCTGCAAAAGAGACCCTTTTAGAGGCTATCCACTTGTGCTCACAAGCTTTTAAAAACTCCTTGTTGAGAGTTCAATTAGTATATTTGATTTTTGAAACTTGCTCTGTTTCATTCAGAGCTAAGCCTGTCAACAAGTTGAATGAAGTGGCTGATAAAACTAGTTAATAATTTTACTTTATTTATCTGTGTGTGCGTGTGCATGTGTGTGTGTGTGTGTGTGTGTGTGTGTGTGTGTCTGTGTGTCTGTGTGTATGTGTGTGCTGGACAGGATCTGAAATAAAGTATGACTAAAGTAATCAGAAGTGGAGACCAGTCAAAATGATGGATTAGGATGAAGTAGGACACCCCAGTTTTCCTCATAACTATTCCAACAAAGATTTAGAAAAAGTGCCACTCTGAGCTGCGAAATCCAAGAAGAAAATACAGTGAGATGTACTTTCATCCCAGGGAGTAGGAAGAGAAGCTGGCCAGCAGCTTTGTCCTTCTGACCCCAGAACTGGGTTATAGATACAGCCTAGACTGTGGAAGGGAACCATAGCTAGGTCCTAAGTTAACCTGTCATCATCAATCAACAGTTCCAACTGAGTCCTGGCCTAGGGCTCTTTGTTGTGACAGGATCAAGAACAAAACTGAGCAGCAGTTACACGGAACTGATACTCGAGTAGGGTTATAAAATCCGACCCACAGAGTAGGGCTGATGTCTATAGTTCAGTGCCAGGGCAAGGAGCTCAGAGCAAGGGAGAACATTCATTTCTAGAGCTTACAGAGCCTTCACACTATATAACTGGGGCTGGCATCTACTACCTCTTCAATAAAAGAGAAGTTTAGTTTTTTCACCAGATCCAAATTGGGGTCAAGAGCTTGAAAAGCTCAGACTAGAGGTCAGCAATTAGACATCATTCACTTTAGATCAAATTGCTTAGAATGTGCTGAAAGTTTATATATTCTCCCACCTGGGCTACTCCTGAGATCCTTTAGAACCCCAAACTCAATATCCAGGGAAAGCAGCAGCAAAATTCAAGAACGTGTAAGTCAGGACCAAACAGGCTCCTAACATGCCCCACAGAAGGGCACAGAGACTGGCCATAATACAAAGTCCTAACAAAGCAAAAAAAGCTTCCAAGATAAAAACTCCAGAACACCTACAACCAGAGCTTCAAAGAAAAACACAGCTTGGCCACAAAGCCAACTAGAATTCCTGGAAGAAATGAAGTAGTAATTAAAATAATCAGAGAGATGTGGTTTTCTGAGTTGCCTCTAGCTGACTCAAAAGAAAATTCCTAAGTAGATGTTCCTGAAACATCTTAATTAATGTTAGCATCATTAAAATAAACATATGACTTCCCAAAGCGAACATTTTGGAAGGCATCATTCATTTGAAAGGGCAGCTAGGTGGCACAGTGGATAGAGTGCAGGGCCTGGAGTCAGGAAGACCCGAGTTCAAATCCAGCCTCAGACACTTACTAGCTGTCTTGCTAGCTGTCTTGCCTAGTTTACCTCAGTTTTCTCATCTGTAAAATGAACTGGAGAAGGAAATGGCAAACCACTCCACCAAGAAACCCCCAACTGGAATCACAACTGAACAAAAATTCATTTGAATACATAAGCTCTAGTAGGTCAAAAGTCTATCAAATCTTATAGTTTATTTACAAATTTGGTATGTAAGCATGTTTGTGTGTGTGTGTGTGTATGTGTGTGTGTGTGTGTGTGTGTTGAGGGGAAATTTGGGAGGACTTCAAGCATAGAAACTTCATTTATTCATTTAAGTAGTCTGTAACTTGAAATGTTAAGAGGTTACTTGCATTTATTTGTCTATGGTCACATCAAGGTTGGCCTTTATTCAAAGAAAACTCTCTCTCTCTACTTAATATTCATATGTGTGTACACTCCAATTTTATATAATAGAGATGAATATGTGTATGCATACATGTCCACATATATTTTGTCCCAGGAGGAAAAATCCTAGACAATCTAGTTAAAGATAATACATTTTCTTTATGAGATATTCATAAATATATATGCAAATATATGTGCTTACATACTGATTATAAATTTGCACATATATGTATACTTCCTTAAAAGCACAGAAGGACTAAAGCAAGACAATATGAATGTAAAAGCAAAATTGTGTACAATAAAGCAAACGAAGAAGCTTGGATTTTCTAAGTCAAATGACTGAATCTATTCCAGTCAATGCAGAAGCAACAATTTAGGGTTCAACTGTCTTTGCTGACCCCTTGCTGTTGAACAATAGTCCCTGTTAGCCACAGAACAAAATGCTTAGTCCATCTAGGAACAAGAACAACTTCACATCAGTGACAATAATACTCTGTCCAACATAGTAGAGACTGTTTAAAAACTCTCACACAGGGAACAGTCTTTAATAAACAAAATGCTTTAATCTAAATTATGAAATGATTTGTTTTTGTTGTTTGCAATAGAAGAGGAAGATACTAAGTTAAACGATGGGGAGACGGATGAGAATAAGATTGCATAGAACTGAAAAAGACCTCTCAGAAAAAATCCTCTCATTTTACAGTTGAAGAGACTGAGATCCAGAGAATTTCAACGACTTGCCCAACTCCATGCTGAAAGGTAATATCAGTGAGAGTATTTGAATCCAGATCCTCTTTGCACTGTACTTTAAGTTTCTAACATAAATTGTACAGCTTGATTGAGGTTGTGGATGAAATACGCTCTCTCTTTTTTTGTTTCTCCCCTACCCCTACATGTGAAGTGAATGGAAAAGAGGTAAGGTTGAATTACTCTGAGCTCCTTGGAAACAAGTATTACAATATGAGAAGTATTTTTCATCAGGTAAGATTTATGTGGTTTTTGATGCATTGTAATAATAGAATAGAGTGGGATAACTGCCTCAGCACAGGATGAAGATCTGATTTTTAATATTCCAAAAGCCTTTGTTTCAAGCTCTAGAAAAAGAATAACTGCAAACGTAAGGGGCCAATTAACGGAATATCTTGCAAAATAATTAAATCATAAGCAACTGAAAAATCTCTGCTCACAAAGCCTGCATAGGATCATTAAAAGTGCTGAATTACTCTGACATCAGCACATAAGTCAAAACCCAGAGCCAGAAACAGATGGTCAGACAGACAAATAGATGGAGAAACTATGTGTTGGGGGCGGGGTGGGACTGAAATAATATAACTCATGCTTTTCCTTATAATGGTCTCATACGAAGAAAATTATCACAGATACACAGAAAATTGCTGCACTGGACAAAAAAAAAAAACAACTGGTGACTAGAGGGTCACTCAATTGCATTTAACAACTGAAGACATTTTTAATTCTTCCTCAATCCCATCATATTAGAGTTGCCACATCACGTTAAGCTTAAATTGCAATCATCTTTCACATTTCTTGTTTCCATTGCCTCATTACCATAGTCAAAACTCTTGTTCTTCTGACTATAGCAATAGTCTGCTAAAGCTCTCCTGGCTTCAATCTACCCAGTACATTGCTGCCAAAGAAATCTTCCCAATACACAGTTTTGATCACTTCACTCCTTTTCTTAAAAATTTCCTGTGGCTCCTTACTGAGGAAGCAACAGAATAAAAATCCGAACCACTTATCTACCATCACTTCTAATCTCTGTTAAAATTCTACCCTTCTTTCAAGGCCCTTCTCAAGATTGTCTCTAGTTAGAAGTCAGTGCACCATCAAATTTTTCACTTTTCTTTGACCTGATTTTATGGTATAGTTATCTGTATGCATGTTTTACCTCCATTACATTTCTTTCCCATTTGAATGTAAA